ACAGGGAGACCACGCACATGAGCTCTAGCAGCATTTTTATTTACAAACAGCAATGTCCATTGACTTTATTTATACCATAAAAAAGCCATTTACAAGCAAGAAACAGAATTCAGAACAAAATTAAGCAGCACTGAAATATTCATGTCACAAATCTAAAACAAAGTGAATACAAGAGTAAAATATCATTTGAATAAATAGTCTTAAATTCATGCTATAAAATAATCCTTAATGGCAAGTTACTAGTTGATACAGCATCCGCTTAGCTAGCTTCATTTACTTCATATGGTGATGAAGTGTGGAGTTGTGAGGTTACCAGTTTATATTGCAAGATAATGACACTGTGTTAAGTCATTCAAATTGCTCAACCATTTATAACGGAAAAAATGTTAGCCCTACTAATAAAAGTGGTGAGAGATGGTTTTCACATTAGGAATATGGTCATTCTCAAACAAACCAGGTAAGTTTACCTCTTACAATAGTCAGGGCAGCAACCAAAGGCTTGGGCAGCAAGTCCAAGGTTGAATTCACAGCATACTTGTCACTGAGGGGCAGCAAGAGGTCTGTGTACTGAATCTGCTACATGGAGCGCCAAGCAAGGCTGACTCCTGGACTTGATCAAGAACTACAATAGTCCTGTCTGCACCAGACCAGGGAGGGAACCAGAGAAAACAGGTTCTCTTCTGGGCTGAGAAGTCAAGCACTGGGCAGAAACAGTGGGAACACTCTGGCACTTACTGAAAAAGACGCATGTGACGTGTGACAACCATTACAAATTTGGAACAATGTGAATGACTTTTCTGAACTTTTAGTTCAGTTGCACTGAGTAATATGAAATCTATGATTTAAGAACTAGATAGTTTCATATAAAGAATTTACATAATTCCCCAATACTTTCATATATAAAATTTAATAAATAACCCTGACCAGTCTAGAAGCACCATTCAAGGGGCATGTGCCCTTGGAAAATAGTTTAGGTGTTGCATATTTGAGTCCCTTTCAGTGGAGGCTTCACAGGAAACCATTATAGAATTTAACAATAATGACAACGACAACAAAAAAAATCACAGTAACTGACAGAAAAAGTTGCTAAAATAAAATACATTGATCTCTTTAAAGTAAAGCTCATTCACATAGATGATCTCCCCCCCAGCCCTTGTTCTGTGTTCCCGCAAATTGGCTGTAAAACAAAAATAAAAACAAAACCAGACACAAAATATGCAGGCCTATGGTTTGGGCTAAGGGAAAACAAAGAGTTGGTTATAACTGCTATCATTAGAAAAGACATTTACTCATGCTCTGGAAGATTTTAAAATTATCAATTTAGTTCTACAGTATATTCTGCTTAACAGTGAACCGACAGTATCCTTTCTGCTGTTTAAAAAAACCCCAAAAACTAAAAAAAAAGAAACCCAAAAAACAAAAAAACAAAATGAACACAACCGCCAAGGCAGAGCCAATTGGTTGGGAGGCTTTCCACTGACCAAAAAATTAACTTGTCTCCATATACTGTATTTACAAATATAATTTCTAAATGTATTTACAGCTTTAGTAGAAATTAGAGGGTAGAGAACTGATTAGAATGAAAATAATGGTTTAAAACCACACGCATTAGTAAAAGTATAAAATTCTTTGTTTTCACAGTTTGTAATAACAGGCTAAACATCTCTAGAAAAGGACGCTGTCACTGTCTTCACATTGTCTAATATTGAAAAGGTAGCTCGAGAAGAGACTCAATTATGAACAAGCCTATATGAATTCAGGATATATTTTACTGCAAAAGATTTCTTCACATATCACTTTATCTTATTGATTTCTGCATTTGTTATAAATGAAACACCTAACCTAAAACTGTACAGAAATAGGGACTTTGCTTTCCAAAAAGAGTTGCTCTAAGGAGTCACACAGCGTACTTCGTCTGCGGAGACGTGACGTGACTTCAGGGAGAGAATGTTTCTGTTCTGTGGTCATGTTAATCCTCCTGGCACATCCTCACGCGGCAAGGCACAATTAATTGCTGCTGCCCGATCTGAATGGAGTTAATCTCTCACCAGTCATGCCCCTGGGAAGCATGACAGCACAAATGCTCAGAGAGGCTACACAGCTCCGTGCTGGCCTAGCGCTGCCTCCCTCGAAGCCCTGCGGAACTTTACAGTACTGTGTTATGGCTTGAGAATTCATTCTTAACACTGCGAGCAGTGGAAAGGGGAAAGTGTTAGCAACACGAATGGGAGCAAGTGGAACTTGCTAAATGCGGAACCATGATTATTAGAGAGAAACTCAATCAATTTTCTGCCCCTTAACAGTCCCATTACAATGTTTGAACCTGAACTGTACAATCAAAGCAATGTATATTTTTGTCAAAGACAATTTTGGATAAGTCACTCTTTGGTAAACTCAAACCAGTTAAACAAATTTACAAATACAAAGAACTCCATGTAAATAAGGTTAAGACGGACACAATGACAAGAGCCAGGACGTTGGAGGTGTCTGCCTCGGGTGCTCTCGCCTCCTAACTCCTCTTGCATACTGCAGAATGCTCTGGAGACCTCACAGAAGGCCCCAAGCCTGAATGAAAAGGAGGTTCCTTCCCTGAGCTTGACCTCTTATGTCCTTGGATTTGGGCATTTCTTGTCACAGACTTAATTTGTATCACAACACAAATTTTTTGCATTTAAATCTTTAAAAAAGAAAAATCAAAACCAAACTTACTCATGTAAAGAAAAAAAAAATCACAAACATTTACCTGAAACCCCAGAACATATTTAAGTGGGTAAACACTTGGGGTTCAGCCTCCCCTTGAGGCACGAGGCTTTAACAGGAATTGAACAAGTGCTCCAGGGAGAGAACAAACCCCTACTTAGGCAGTTTGACGAGGAAAAAGGCATACTATATACCCGATTTAGCAAAAGCTGCTCCTCAGGAGCAGCAGATTAGAGTGTAATCTGTACGGAGTTAACACTGATGTGTAGCGCAGCAGTTCACACGTGAACAGATCCTGTGTGCTAAAGAGATGCTACTGCACAGCTACCACCCCCGGGGGGTTATTACACAAGAAGGGCTTGAATGACTTTTTTCTTAAAAAAACAAAAACAAAAACAAAACAACAAAAACCCACCATTGGTATTTTAAGAGCCAAAAAAGCATGGAAAACCAGCAAACATCTATTTCTGTATGCCTTTAACTCCTAGCTTCTGAGGCTGGTCTTTCATTTCTGGTTTCTTTAGGTGGCTGCGCCATTCTCCTACGGAGACGCACTGGTTGTGGGTCTCAGAGCCCGGGTTCTCAGGCAGAGAGACTGAAGCACGGACATCCCACCAACAGCCTGCAACACGAACTCACCACCAAACTGCTCCCGAAATTACTCTCTGCCAGAACATACAGTACCAAAGCAATCTTGTAAAGACTGTTCGTATATGTGAACACAATCCAGAACTGAAGACACTTCCAAAAGTACTGATAAAACATTATTCAGACAGCATGTATTCAGACGGGTATGTTTTCATACAGTAATGTGTTTGCTGGCATATGCTTTTGAGGTCTCTTTTCAAGCTATGAACTCAAGAGAGGAAAACAACTGTAATCCACTATTACCATTAGATTTCACATTTTCTACAACTATACTGACCTAAAAGACATTTAACATAAAAATAGCACCACATGACCAAAAAAATGGTGACACACACAGATTTGGTGACACACTGAGTATCTCAGAGGGCTTTTTAACTGTTGGTTCTTTAAGCAGGAAACACTGAGTGGGGGAGCCACTGAGGCTCTCATTAGCACACACAATACTAAGATAGATATATTGCTTGCAATTCCCATAGAGTATAGCTTTACAAAAAATACAAATTCCAAGTTCTGCAGTTTCCGTGGGAACTGCATGTAGAAAAAGTTGCTGTGCACCTGAACTGGCTGTTTGAAAAAAGAAAGGGAAAAACAAAAAACGAAAAACAGAAAACCCACAACACTGCTTGGAGAATTCTGTAGACAAAACTACAAATCCCTTTCCTTTAGTGTGAGTACTAACTCATGGTAGAGAGCGATTCGATTTAGTTACCTGGTATGTATGTTTCTACAGTACGGAATGAAGGTAGATTTGTAGGCCAGTAAAAACCTTGAAAACCACTGCTCCTTTGGGGTTGGGTAATATAACACTACACTATGTAAAAAGGTCAGCACCACAGGTCGTCCAGCTTACCTGCTGGACAACTAACAAAAATTCCAAACGGTTTCCAATAGAGTTGAAGAAATTTTATGGCATTTGGTTTATGTATTTGTTATGAAGCAGAGCTATGAACACTGTGATTTGCTTTGCTTGCTTTTGGACACAATGATTAATATATATGAAAACCACTAACATTCTTTTGTAAGGGAAATGAAGGGGCAAAACCCTAACATATTAGGTAGGGATGAGACAGAGTCAAAAACCCTGTTCACATTGTATTAAATTATATATTCCTCTTACATTCACCTCAACCAGAATAAAATCAAATTTGATAATGTATATATACTATATATAATAATCACTTTATTATATATATATATATATATATATATATAAATTGTCTAACTACCCCCTAAAAGGAATTTTAAATTAGAAAAGGTTACTCATTTGTATCAGCTGACGGAATCCTAGTCTCTCTCCATGGAAATGCACTGCTGCCAGCACACACAATGAGAGAGAGATGCCTCTTGGCAGAGAATGGAGGGTCAACCAGTTAGCTAAATCACTGGCAGATTTTGGATTAAGAGTTCAGCCAAAGAGGAATACTGTCAGCCTGTGTTTTCCCTGGATGTGTTGCCCTTCATGCTTTGAGCTCCTTCGGGGAAGGAAGACGGGAAAGGATAAACACAATGAAGTGTTCCATCCAGAAACTTTAGAAAAACTGCCAAGAGACCAAGAGATTTCCAGATGGTTGAGAAAACCAAAGATTACAACAAAGCAAATCACAAATATGCATTGATTAATGTGCTTTGTTTGGGTGCACTTCTTTACCACCTTAATCGGGAGCGTCAGACACTGTGTGAATTTCCATCCGGGAATCTAGGGCCATCTCCGAGGCCGATGCATCATTTTCTAGTTTCTGTTCCACATACATATCTGTTCTCTCCGGGGACTCAATGCGACTCCTGACTTCGGTGACACCCGGGTGGTTTTTCCGCAGGTGCTGGTTGAGGGTACCTTGGAATGGAAAGCACTTCCCACAGATCTCACAGCGGAATGGTTTATCATCAGTATGGCCCCGGATGTGGTACTCCAGTTGGTCCTTCCGTGTGTACTTCTTCCCACAGAACTTGCACACAAAGGGGGTGATTCCCATATGGAGTCGCATGTGCCTGTCAAGGCTTCCTTTCTGGTTGAAGGACTTTCCACAGTAAATACAGATCAACCTCTCATTGTACGGGTACCAATGACCTCTTGCACTCCTCTCCCGGGGACTGCTCTCATACCCAGGGTTGTTCATCATGGCTTCACTGTCAGACCCCTGCACCAGGCCCTGCAGATCACTATGCAGGTGGACAGACAAAGCCCGCTTCTGGCGGGCACGCCCTCCTCGGAAACAGCTCAGCATGGACCTAGATGGGCTGGAATTACTCAAACTTCCAAAAGCGTCTGATACACTGGTTGGCTGTGAGGCTGCTTGGGAGTAGGAGTATGCATGCTGGAGCACAGAACCATAGGAGCCCACGTTCACTGCCACGACTTGTTCCCCGTCAACCATCTCGGTGTGGTACCCATCATCACCCAGGGAGGAGCTGTCGGAACAGCTGGGCCGGTCAGACTTCTCCATCTTCACTTTCACCTCGGTGATTTGGCTCTCCCTCACCAGCAGGTCCCCTTGCTCCTGGTCCCCCTCTATCTGAATCTCGTACTCAGAAACGCTCCCACTGCTCCCGCGGTCTGAGTGCCCCTCCTCCTGTAAGCGGCTGCGCAAAGCTTTGCTGGGGGTTGTCTCCATCCGGAGATCACCGCTTGCAGTGGGCTGCCGTCCCTGAGAGCAATATGGAGGGGAGATCTCAACTGGGTTGGCAAAGAAGCTGCTGTCTTTCACTCCATTACGACTCTCGGGATTCTCTTCAGCACCGACAGTAACAGAGTCGACATCTCCAACACTGATTTTCGAATGGATGCTCTCTAGGATCTGCGTGCACTTGTCAATGACACACTGCATCTGAAGAAAGCTGGCTGCAGTCAGAAAACTGACAACATCCTTTAGCTGCAAGGACATTCTTCCAGTGTAACAAAAAGAAAGCAACTGCTCGAACACATTCGGGTTTTTAATCACTGATATTGACAAGCCACTCATGGTACTTAATGCTGAATGGTCCCGGAAATATGGGGAGCTGGCAGCAAGGACTGCTTTGTGGGCTCGGAACGGCTGACCCTGAATGTGGACAATGATGTCACATAGTTTCCCTTGCAGGCGGAGTTCGTTTAGCTGGCTCAGAACGGTGCTGCTGTACTCGGGCACATCAAACTGAATAAAACTGCTGCTGTCCATTTCTACTGACATGAAGCGTACTCTGTGGAAAGAGAGAGTTTTCGTAATTCACCAAGGACTCCTGGCTAAGTGCAAGTGGCATAAATACAAGCTTACAACAACGATATCATGGTAGCTATAGAACCTCCTCTTACCTATTTTTACACTTTCATGTTTCAGTTAATGTACCTAAAGCCAAATAACTTAATGATCAATTAGCCTAGTACCTATCACAATTGCCTACCATGCATCTTGATGAAAAGCAAAACATTTAACACACAGTAGGGCTATTTCAGCTCTGATTGAGAAATTGGTATTCTTTTAGGAAAAATATTTCCCTATTTCACCTACTTTTGAGGATTTGAAGTACTTTGTAAAAAATTATTAAATGCATCTAAAGAATGTTCTGCTTTATTTGTATGTTTCTAATTGGTATTTTTCAAGTATAGAGCACATTAGATACAAGAATGGAGTAAACTCTTTTTAGTATTATTGTCTTGATTTGCATTTGTTTCCTTTCAGCTCTGCACACCTTTATATCCTTTTTGGGATGGTAATTCAGAGTTACAATGCTCAGTCTCTTTCAGTGAAGAGCTATTTTTAGACAGTAGGAGTAAAAAGAATGATGGACACACCAAAAGTGCATCATCCTCCACTAGTGCGCACAGCCCTGGCACACAGAGGACAAGTTTCCTTCCTCTTGCCTAGAATCTGAAGCACGGGATTGCTCAAAACTACTACTAGGCCGGGTGTGGTGGCTCACGCCTGTAATCCTAGCACTCTGGGAGGCCGAGGTGGGCAGATAGTTTGAGCTCACGAGTTCGAAACCAGCCTGAGCAAGAGCGAGACCCCGTCTCTACTAAAAATACAAAGAAATTAATTGGACAACTAAAAAAAATATACAGAAAAAAATTAGCCAGGCATGGTGGTGCGTGCCTGTTGTCCCAGCTACTCGGGAGGCTGAGGCAGAAGGATCGCTTGAGCCCAGGAGTGTGAGGTTGCTGTGAGCTAGGCTGATGCCACGGCATTCACTCTAGCCCGGGCAAAAAGAGTGAGACTCTGTCTCAAAAAAAAAAAAACTACTACTAAACTACATACATCCCAGGCTTCATTCTCTGACCAAAACATAACAAATCTAGATCTAACCATTATATTTGAGACTTAAAAACCCAACCAATGGAAATTTAAACACCTCTTATATAATATTAAATCAGAGAAAATAAAAAAGGAATAAAACTACCTAGAAAATGAGAAAACTCGCATAAAATCTGCAACAAGAAGGGTTTGGAAGTGAAGTTTACTTATGTCTTCAACTTACTTGAGAATATAAACCCAAAAAAGAGATGAATAGAGATGTGATAAAGCAAATATAGCAAAAAGTTAACAACTGTATAGTCTGGAGATGGTAGGTATTTGGGTATTTATTGTAAAATTCTCTCAGCTTTTCTATATGTTTGAAATTTTTCATAATGAAACGTTGGGGTTTTGAAAAAAACAACAACAAAAAACTGCAACAGGGAAGGTCAGTGCTTTAAAAGATTTTATCGGTAAACAATAAATACAAAAAATAAAAGAAATGACTCGAGTCAGGAGGTCAGAAAAGGAATAATAAATTAAACGCAAAGGGAGTAAGAAAATAATACAGAACAACAGTACATAATCACAGCGAAAGTCTTTAAATGTTAAGACAAGACAATGTGCAACTAAATCTAAGACTCCTGCAGGAAAGGATCAATCAGTTAGTGTGACTACATCATATCAGAATTTTTTTTATCATGTCAAAATTTGAGTTAAAACATTTTAGTCAAAGAGGAATACTGTGCCCTTATTTATCCTAGATTTATGATTGAAATCAATTTGAAATCTGTATGGAATGAACATATTTTTAGGATAACATAAATTGGCAGAACTAAGTAAGAAACAGAAGTGCCAAGGCACAAATGATCTTCAGGCCGTTCACACTATTCTAGATGCATGTAAAAACATTTAAAGCATCTCAGTTCATATGGCACAAATCTGATACCAGAAGATGACAAACAGCATAAAGAAGAAAACTGTCTACTTCATTTAAGTAAATAGATTTTAAAGTCCTAAGGGAAATACTAGCAAATGTAACCTATTAAAAGAACAATATATTATGACCAAGAAGGGCTGCTTCACAAATGTTAGGACAGCCACATGTTAGGAAACAGACAAATATAATTTGTAACATTAATAAGTCAAAGGAAAAAAAACCATATAATCATATGACCCATATGACCAAAATCACTACTATGCCAAAAATGCATTTGAGAAAGTTAAATGCCCTTTCAGAGTAAGGAAAAAAATACTCAATAAGCTAGAAACAGAACAATACTTTCTTAATATAGTAAACATTACCTACTGCAAACCAATGGCAACATTATCCTTAAAAGGGAAACATTATGTCTGCATTTCCAAAAATGTATTTAGTAGAACACACACCTATGAGCTACACTAATATCCTTACCTCCTAGGGATTAAAAAACACATTAGCATTATAAGCCATCTGAAAAGTCCTGCAGACAAGAATTCTGCTGACCTCAGCAGTTCCGCAAACTCATTTAACAGTGGAACTCTTCTCTCAAGGTACACATGTTAATATTCTAAAGAATCAGTGTTCCCTGGAGCACACTCTAGTAAACACTTTAGTAAAGGCATGGAAAGATACACAAGGTTGTCTTCCATCACTATTCTTCCTTAAAATTGTTCTGGAACTTCTAGACAAAGCAACAAGACAAGGGAAAATTAAGGCACATGGCCATTAAAGGAAAGGAGACAAAATTACTATTATATGCAGACAATTTACCCAGAAAACACAAGAGAATCACTTGAAAAATCTGTTAGAATCAGGATCTAATTAAGTGGAGGGTTTTTAAAAAATTGTACATAAAAAACAGGTAAGCTAATGACAACAAAATACAACCAACAATAAAGCAACAGAACTATAAACTATCTGGGGGAGGGAGGCTGGGTGCCATAGCTCACACCTGTAATCCCAGCACTTTGGGAGGCCAGGTGGGAGGATCGCCAGAACTGGAGGTTGTAGGGAGCTATGATCCCACCACTGCACTCCAATCTGGGCAACAAAGAGAGACCCTGTTTCTAAAAAAAATAAATAAATAAAAATAAAATAAAATATCTGAGAGGGGGATAAACTGAAAACAGGGTCAATAAGAAAAATATACTACTTTATAAGGACAAAAAACATGTCTAAATGAAGAGATATACCATGCTTCTGACATTCAATCTGAAGATTCAATGCTATCAAGATAGACAATTTCCCCCAAAATTAATGTATAAACACAATGCAGCCCACTGGAATATTTTCTAGAAACTTGACAAAATGATTTTAAAATTCACCTAGTACATTACTGTCCAACAGAAATATAAGCTACCACATGTGTAATTTAATGCTTTCTAGATTTTTTAAAAGTAAAAAAAAATATTTTACCCAATATATCTAAAACATTATCATGCAGCATGTAATCAATATTAGAAAGTTATGACATACTTTAAGTTCTTTTTTTTATACTAAGTCTTAGAAATCTGATTTGTATTTTACACATAGTGTGTGTCAATTTGGACTAACCACATTTTAAGTGCTCAATAGCCTCATGTGGCCAGTGCTACCAAACTGGACAGGGAAAATCTAGGGGAATAAATATTAAAGAAATTTTAGAAAAAGAAAAATACAGCCAAACCTATATCTGTAAGTTGTAAGTTAAAATGTACGATTAGGCCATAATTTACTTGGTAAGTGTGTACTGAATGTCCGACACTAGGCATCCAAGGGAGTTGTCATTCTCTCTAAATCATAGTAAGAGCAAGGATATATTTCATAATCAGGGAGTGCTGAGAGAAGGGCGCCTGAACAAATGCTATTTCAAATGAGACCTCCAGGCTGAGTGAAGGTTAGCCAGATACTGTGGGTGCTGGGGGTGCTGCGGGGAAACTGTCCAGACAGAAGGAGTCACAGGAAGGAAGGATGTGCTGGAAGTGTCCTGGCACAGCGGGAACAAGGCACGAGGGGAAGGGCAGAAGCCATATGAGGCTGTCAAGGTAGGTAGGAATCAGTCTGAGACAGCCTTGTGGGCCATTTCAAATCAGTAAGAAAGGAAGAATTATTGAAATAGATCCTGCTTAGAGAATTTGAATAAAGTTAGATCCCTTCCTCACAGAAGACCCCAAAATAACCTCTAAAAATTTCTTAGCATACAAAGATAGATGCTAGAAAAAATATAGGTTTAACTACAGAAATAAAACTTTTATATATCTAAAAATACTTTTTAGCAAAAAAAAAGACACAAACAAATTATAAAACATACTTACAACATACACAGTAGAGAAGTATAAGACTCTCACAAACCAATAAAAGCCAAATGTAACAATTAAAAATGTGTAAAGACTAAGAATAGATAGAATAGCTTGAAAAAAGAAATTAAAAAATAGCCTTTAAACATAGAGAAAAAAAATCTTCACAGCTTCAGTAAACAAATAAAAATTAACATGAAACACAATACTTCTTTCTCAAATTGGCAAAACTTAAAAAAAAAATACAACTCAAGTGGTCAAATGTTACCTATTCATTACAGCATTTTCATGACACAGGGTGTGTAAACACTGACTTTTGGAATGAAAAGGCACAAGGAAGATGGGTTCAGGCTTTTTAGAGGTGTGGACTCCTGGGCAAAAACCAGTAGAGAAAGGAAAGCAATAGAGCATTTCTGAAATAGGATGTAAGACTGAAAACAGCTTCCTAATGAGGTTTCCTCCTCCTGTGTGTGGCTTTTTCTCTTCCCAGAAAAGTGGAGAGCTACACTTGAAAGAAAATCACTGGGAGAAACGAAACACCATGATTAACACCTAAGAGAGGGATTCCATTTTTCTGCAAAATGAGAAAGGAAGTGCTTTGCTTTCCTCTCCCTTGCATTAACACTTCCTTTTGACAGTGACAATGAGATTCAAAGACTCCTCCCTAGAGCTGCTAACAAGCAACACTTCTGAATAAGAAGCTTCTAAATG